CACACACACAAGAGCCCTGGGCAAGACCAAGAAATGCCTCTTGTTAATCTGAAAGAAACCTCTACTGAGAGGAGTAGGACTTCAAAAGATTTTGCTTTTCCCACAAACCTGGCACAGTGGAGCCTGACTTTCAAGGTTTGATGGACTTAAGTCCTCCTGTGAAAAGGCTAATGTGTCCATTGTCACTGAAATACAATAATAGCAGCTAAAATCCACAATGAGTCATACAGTCAAACAACAGGCAAGCGGGATACAAGTTACACTGCAGAGGAAGGGGGCGCTTCGAGATTCAGGGCAGAACACAAGTTAACAGTGCGACTTTAACACATCTGAACGTTCTCATTTCACTCCGACGGGAGAGTGGTTTGTTTTGCTGGTAATTTAGTAAGGTGGGAAGTTTTAAATAAGAAGGGGAAAGGGAATGCTTACTTCACTTAAAGAACTTAATCTCCGTGTCAACACAGTCATAGAAGAGATCCCCCACTTCAGTGGGGTCCAGGGGTTCGGAGCTGGTCAGGATTTCTTCCATGGCTTCCAGGCCTTGCTTCTCCAGTTCCAGCATCGTCTTCCTCAGCTTCTGGCCTTGCTCCTGAGGGAGGACAAAAACAGTGGGAGTCACTGCAATGGACACCGAAAGGGCCTAAGGGCCCATCCGCCCCATTCCATCTGTCTCCTATGGGACTGCCATAGCTATGGTTCTAAACGCCAGTGTGGTGATGTCACGGCTCTGCTCGGAATACTTACACAGCTCCCACCGCCTTGAGGATAAAATCCGGGCTCCTGAGGGGCATTCGGGAAAGGCTCTTTGTCATACAAGGCTCTTGCTTGCCTCACCTCTGGCCCTGCCCCCACATCTCCTTTCTCCTCAGCCAGACCCAGCTAGCTGCCGTCCTCCGACCCTCCAGACTCTCATCACCGCACGGCCACCCGGCTCGCCCTCAGCACTCGGTCAGCCTGTGCCCATCTTCGGGCCTCTCTCAGCACCCTTCCTCTGCGCTCCCACAGCCCGTGCCTTTCCTTCTGCCATGGCTGTTCTCGTCCTGTCTTGTGAGGGTCTGTCTCCTTGCCTGTGCCCCAGTTAGACCACCACCGCTTGGGAGTGAGAACTGGGTTTGTCTCTATCCTGCAACGCCTGGGACAGAGGAGGCACTCCCAGTAAATGTTGGTGGAAGGAGTAAGTGGATCAGTGAATAAATGGCATGTCTAGCACCGATGGACTTTTTTTTCTGAGGTGTGAGAGCTCTTCTTCCAAGTGGGAATCACTCATTTACAGAGGATGACAGTGAAAAGCTTTCATTTGTCCAACTAGTCCCAGAACGGAGGCGCTGCTGGCACCACCCCTCCCCTTCTTCCTACTGCTGCCTTAACTCAAACCGCCGCTCATTTCTAAATTTCAGAGTCCATCCAGATTCGTCAGTCTCATCTCTTTGAGATTTTCCGTAGGACACCTCAGAGCACACGGCCCTTTCTACCTCTGCCTTCAGTTGCTAAACATCCACAAAATCGTGCACCGCTGAGTGACATTTTCACTCTACTCGGGCTTAGTGTTGTCCACCTAGAAAGCAAGCGCCGTCAGGAACCAGCGGGCACAGCCCGGGACAAAAGTCTGTGCAGTGCGGCGGCGGCATTCATAGATCCAGGGAAACGTGTGGCAGGCAGGACAGGTATGAAGTGACTGTGCGACTTTTACATGTCAAAACAGTTGCCTCTGTGGCACAGAGAGCAAGTTCTGGAAATAGGGAGACTCCCTCTCCCCGAGGTACGTTCTGAATTCATTTGGATCTACTGTGTTAACCCTACCTTCTCTGTATCCTTTTTAGAGAGTCCAGGCAGCCGGATGTAAGAAAATAATAAGCTCACCTGGTCCACACAAAACGCGTGCACCAGTCTACCTAAAAGATGTCCCTTTCTTCAGGACAAACTGGACCTTTACAAGCCATTAAATACGTGCTTCCTTCTTCCTTCAGCAAAATAGAGACCTGGATTTTATATGAAAGCCCATCGCTACTGGCTGCCGTGGGCATATACGGAGCACCGCTCTTGTCTGAACCGATGTCTTGTAACTTTATTAACCAAAGGGTGGGCGAGGGAGGGTTGCACTTAGAAGAGTAACTATTTTAAAACTAGGAACTATTTTAAAACACTTTTTTGTGTGAAAAAAATATGTACAGAACATGAAATTAATCATTTTAACCATTTTTAAGTGTATGCTTCAGTGGCATGAGTATATTTACATGGCTGTGCAACCATCGCCACCATCCATCTCCAGAACTCTTTTGAAGAATCACTTTTTTAAAAAAACAACATACAAGGGGTGCATATACCTCAATGATAGAGCGCATGCTTAGCATGCACGAGGTCCTGGGTTCAATCCCCAGTACCTCCACTAAAAAAAAAAAATATGATTATGATTGCATCTTTACATAGTGCTGCCATCATGTATAACTTTTTTACCTCCAAAAGCATGCAAAGAATTTTTGACTGCAGAAAAGCAGTTCCCCTGACTAGGACTGCACATTTCTGTTATTCCTGGGTAAACAGCAAATGAAAGAGAAATATTCAAGCCCACTGAGTTCCAGAAAAGCGTCCAAAGCGGAGGCTTTGTTTCTCTGGGTCTCAAGAGGCTGGTGGACCATTAACACCAGCGTTCTAGGAAGGGCCTCGGGACCTGGGCTTCTGGGAGCAGACTTGCTGGAGAGGAGGGAAATGAGCTTGTTAACCTGCCTCCTTCCCTGCGACCTCGCCCCCTCGGGGTGCACCGCCAGGCTCACCTCGTCGCTCTCCAGGACGGCGCGCGCCCACTCGTGGGCCTTGTACAGCTCGTGCCGGCGGTCCGCCTTCTCCTGGAACCGAGGCTCCTTCTTGGCAGGGTCATCGTCCCCAAAACAGGGAGACTGTGCTTTGGGGACAAGTTTTACATCCTCGACAAAGATGAAAGGCTTGAATATGGACCTGGCGAGAAAGGAAAGGTGCTTCAGCTGGACTGAGAGCGGGGCTTGCGGACACCAGAGGCTGAGCCCTCGTTCTGCCAGCACTCCCCGGGCCAGCTCATGGAGCGCGGTGGGCGCATGCCAAGAGAGACACAACTGCCTATTTCAGTGACTATTTCAGTAAAATGAATCGCCATTTATGAGCTGCAAATTCTATTTACAGCGAGAGACAACAAAACAGACTGGCTTTGTTCCAGGAAGGCCATTTGAGAGCCCCTTTCAGTTACATACAGTAAGGCAAATAGACACACAGTGTTCTGAGGAAAGGGTGCCAGGGTCCATCAGGCTGAGCTGGTCTTTCTCTACCATGGTCTATGGAAAGGGGCTTCCTGGAAAGGAGGGCTCTGAGACCCACTCTTTTTTTTAGGTTCTACCTTATTTGAAAATGTTTAGGGTATCTCTGAAAGACTTAGGGAGGATACAGATTTAAAACAAAAAAATCCCAGGGGCCCCAGAGAGGGCACACCACAGAAGTCTGGTCGTGTGAGAGGGGAGCGAGGGCATAGAGGTGGCTAGTGCAAGAACCCTCCGATGCAGCTCTTTCGGCACGAGGAGGTGTCTTAGGGAACAGGGCTGTGCGTGTGAGTGTGTGTGCGTGTGCGCGTGTACCTGTGCACACCTGGGCACATGTCAGCATACCCCCTAGACGTACACACCCCTCTAAACAGCCTAAGGAACTGCTTCCTGGGATCCCAGGCCAATATAGCTGAATGTATGTAACACTCAGGAGAGAGCCTTACTGGCCCCGCTCTGCACCCAGAAAGAACGCAGCTGGATCAAAGTGCTCTGGGCAGATCACAGGCGCCTCTGGGCCCCGCGGGTGGCCTGCTTTCCATCACACCCCAGGGGGCACCTGCAATAACAACTGGACAGAATGAGACACACAACCACATCCCGTGTGTATGGGTCGGATTTTGGCTATTTTCTCTCCTCTTAACTGGGGCACCTTGGCTCATTCTGTGCCTCCAGTGGGTTAGAAGTGAGCTGGGATGTTGACTGTCTCAGCCCCAAGGTGCCTGGGCTAACGCGCCCAGAGCAGCCTGGCCAGTGTGCCTTGCAACCATTTTCACATCTGCCATTGTCTGAAAAGAACTGGGAACCCATGACCCCTGTACCCACTGTGTCCTCTGACTCGAGGCATCAGCATCACCCTCAGGACCCACCCCCATCCTGCTGAAAAGAAGCTGCATGTTAACAAGGTCCCTGGGGGATTCATGATATCCAAGTCCAAGGAGCACGACCGGAGACACGGTGATGAGGAGTGACCTCTAAGGTTAGTTCCCTGAGGTTGTCAAGGAAAGGGGGCTCAAGTGAGAAAGAAAGACCCTGATCACAGCACGCAAGGTCGTGTGCTGAATACTGAACGCGGTGAGACCTTTGTACCCCAAGCTGGCGAAGTGGTGGCACTGGTTAAGGATAAGTGCTGTTCTCACAGGTGACGCAAACACACACAGGAGGCTGGGCCCATGCCGGGTCCCATCCGCCAGGATGCACAAGGCTCAGGCAGGTGGCCTGGACCTAATTCCTGTTCTCCTGTTTTCCACCGGCCTCAGGACACGGGTGATGTTCACTTGCGTGACTGATGCTACCCTGCACAAGCCCCTGCGCCCCACCCCTTTTCTCTACCCCTCAAAAGCCCACGTGGGAGTGACATTTTCATCAGGAAACTTGTCATTTAATTTCAGGAACGTCAGTGCTTTACTTACTGGGTGACTCACAACCATGCTGATTCTGGCCTCGTGGGGGAGAACCGTGGCCCTGGGGGGCCCCAAGGGGATTGCTGACCTACTATCCCGGGTCTGTCTGCCTCACGACAGCGGGGACAGGGAACGGGGCTGGGAGTCAGGATGGGGGTGCATGTGCCCTCCTCACCTCTGACCAACCGTGGGGCACGTCATCTTCCCTCTCCGTCTCTCACCTGGCTGACACAATCTCTAGCATCCCTTTCAGCTTCTAAAGCTGCTGGGTTATTCCCATTTCTATGTCATGTGGCCTGTGGACTTGGGACTCTGACTCCACGAAGTTCATGCTGAGCAGTCGTGGTCTTCTGCACCCAATACACAGATAACAGCACAATAAAAACTCAGAGCCCTCTATCACACTCGTTGGAATGTGGAGGTTAGTTTAACATCAGTGAGCATGTCTGATGGGGTTTCTAAGACAGGAGGGACCAGATGTTTATCCCTCTCATCTATCCATTTTAACCTGAAAAAATAAATAAATAATAAATATGATCAGGTTCCCACAATATTCTAAAACAGCCAAAGCTTTCCAAGAAATTTTTTTTCCAAAGTCTATAAGGAGTTGCTGAAAACATGAAGCGTAGATTTGTCAGGTGGTAAGGGAGATTTTTTTTTGAGGTTGAATAAATAAAAATTACTGCCAATAATAAACTGCAATAATACCTGTATGCCAGGATGTAGGAATTATGTATAATTCAGTCTTGATAGTTTGTGTCTGCATATCTGGAAAAGGGCAATGAGGATAACTCAGGGGTTTCCAAATGTTCTGATTTCTTGCTGATCCTTACAGAAAATCGCATTAAAAATCCAAATAGGAGAGAAGATACTCTGACATTTCCCCACCCTTGAACCTCAGATGGTAGCTTCTCAAATGCCCCTCGAATGAATGTATGCTCATGAATGGCCCAGAGAGATGAAATGACTTGACCAAGGTCACATGCCCAGCTAGTGGCAAAGTGGAGCTGCCATCTGGGTCATGACCCACTCCCCACACACCCAGCCAGGGCGGGGCCCACTTCATCACCCACGTGGAGTCCCCCACCCCAAGGATGGCCGAAGGGATGCAGCTGAGGGGGCTCTGGTAAGCTAATTCTGCTCTGTCCTCAGAGCCGCCTCTCAGACTGACCTTCAGAGAAGTCTCCTAACCCAGAGCTGGCTCTGGTCATCCACCCCCTCCACGGCGTGTGTAACCTGAATACAGGATGATAGGCCCCAAAGGGGAAATGCTTCCAACCGCAGAGTCAGCCCAGCAGCTCGTTAACAAAGAGATTTAAATGTGGCTGAGCTCTGAGAAAGGGATCCTCATGAAGGGCAGTTCAAGAGGAAGCCATGAGCATCACTGAAGGAATCGACGTGACTGCACCCGTCAGTGCTCCTTGAGACAAATCCAAGGCCCAAGGCACGCAGCCTGATGACACAAAGCCAGCCCGGCTTGCAAGGTCTGTCTGAGTCTACAGGATTTCACCTTGAGTGACACTTTGAGCCACAGCCAAGAAACGTGCTTCACTGGAGGCATCTTTGCCTTACCGGTCCTTTTTCTCTTTCTTAAACCTTGTGATGGACAGACTAAGCCAGTGTTTAAAAAAAACCTGTTTTCCTCTCATTTGTTTCTTCCTTGGGAAGGAAAACAAAATTATCATGAAAGTCTCTAACATTTTATAGTATATCATAATTTTCAAAGTGCTTTCATGGTATTTCACTCATTCATTCATTCATTCAATCTGTGAATAGTGCTGAGTACCAGATGCTATTCTAGGTACTGGGGATACAGCAAAGAACAAGGCAGGGCAAAAACTTCCGTCCCATTTTACAGATGAGGCAACTGAGACTCACAGGAGCTAAGTGCTTTGCTCAAAAGCACATTCCTAATATGTGCCGGATGTAGAAGTAAATTCAGATCTTCTAAATGTAATGTCTCTTTCTCCCTACTACCTCTCACTCGTAAATCCTTCTGTGGGTTTTTAAATATATATACACATGATGCTACTGCAGAAAAAAAATGCTTTTTGTGCTTTGGGGTTTGGAATTTTAGTATCCACGGCTGGCACAGGAGGAGCAGCACAGAGGCTCCTGCTCGGATGCACCTGCCCAACTTTCAACCAATCTGAAAAGAGCCCAGAAGAACCAGTTTCTCTCAAGCGCAGGTGTCCCTCTGAGCGGTTCATCCGTGGGTCACCCCAGATTCACTGTGAGTCACTTTAATCAAATTGCCAAAGCCGCATCTGGCTGAGAGCAGAACCTATTCGGGAAGGGTGTTTCCTTTTAGAGGGAGAGAGAACTAGTGCTTTAGGAGCGTGGGACACCCTTAGAGCTGGATCCGGATACCCTGGGAAGTTGAGAAAAGCCAAAACCGTGGGGTGGGAGAGAGGAAAAAGATAGTGCTGGGAGAACTGGGAACGAAGCTGGAGGAGGTGATATCTTACACGGGGCCCTCAGCTCTGTGTCTGCCCGTGCAGGCTTGCCCCGAACCGCATTTACATCAACTACAGTGTCTAGGGCCCCTACTGTTATCGCCAATAATGAAAAGGTGCCACTTGTCACTAATACTTGAATTTACCAGATGAGACAGTCTCATCTGCTGCAGTGTAGCCTCTCAAGCGTAGTACACTGGGAGAAGAGAAACGAACACACACACACACATA